ACCAGCGGTAAGTCTCAATTTCATGCAAAAACAGTCTTCCAACCAATTTCTCGGTCACTCTCAAACTCTTTTTCTCTTCTGTCAAAACTGATGCCAATAACAATATAGCCACAGATAGAGAGCCTCTTATCTCTTAATAGACCGAAAGGCTGTGCTGCACATTTGATTCGACATGTTTCTGGTGTTATTCATTAATTTATCTTATTCCTTGCTGCTGTTTGTTATTCTACCTGGGACATTTTCCCATAAAAATAAAAAAGCAAAGTGCCGTGTTGTCAGAATGGACTTGATGCCCATTGAATTAGGTTAATTGTATAGAATTTGTAAAATAGATAATTCTAATGAACTATTTTGGTATGTGTGCATGAAATACGTGAGCATTTGGAGCAAGAACGTTATGTGCTATGAACAAATCTTGCCGTTTACACAGGTCAAGTACACGAAAAAAAGTTGGGTGCGGATGTAGGGATCTCTTTCATCACACCTACACCCAAATTTTGTTGAATTAGTTAAATGATTTAATTGTAAGAATAAAAATGAAAGAATATGTAATTGTTAGATGTTTGATTAATCTGCGATACGTTAAAATGAAAAATAATATTGATTATTTGGCATAATATACTGTGATAAAGTTATTAGGATTTATTCATATCAAAGATAGAATATATTACTATTTATTCTGATGTGAAAATAAATGTTTTGAATAAAATGAAGTAACAAAAGATACTGATGAAAAATGCAAAGTATTTAATTTAATTATTTAGCTTAAATAATAATTTCGTTATTTCGCATAGGAAAAATAAATGATTGTTATTTAATACATTCTATCGAAAAGGGAACATTTGAAATAATATTCTAATTAATTTAAGATATTGATAAAATAGCCAACTCTCATTATCATGTAATAACATATGAACAATTGTCATGTTAATAATCTTTATTTGCATGTCAAATAAAAAAGAAAATGTATTCTAATCCCACTCAAAAAAAACGATATGTTAACGGTCTGTATATGATGATAATAGTTGATAAAGAAATAGGGCCATGCATTTGTAAGATAACAAAAGACATACAATTGTATATGATGTCGTAATACACTGTGTCCAGAATTAGAAGAAAATACAGTTAGTGAAATGTCGTAGAGTTGTCGTTTTTTCACGGTTTACTATCGGAAAACGATCGGTAAAAAATATCCGTTTTGATCGATGTGAAAAGTGACTGTTAATCATTGTTTCTGATAATGTTTTTCTTTTGATAATAACTAATGATGATATCTAGAACAGTATCTATATGTTCTATTATATAAATAATATTGGTCACATTGATAATTAACATAGAATCAATTATTTATTTATCTTGATTATGAAAAAAGTATTCAATCGTATATAGAAAAAGTTTTTATAAATAAAAAACAAAAATTGGTGTTTTGTTTTTACTTGAATTATAAAAATAATCGGATAAAAAAAAAATCAATTTTCTCGATAATTCTTTTACATAAAATTTTGCTATTTTTTTTTTAAGATAAGGTCTATTTAAATTATTCTTAATTAATTCGATTTATCGTAGAAGAATAATTAATATGAATAAAATGAATTTTATTTCAATTAGTTAAATTTATTCTTTGTTTTTATTAAGATAATTTATCATAAAGAAAAAACGAAGTCGTTGATATTGACTAAAGAATAAATGTTAATGATGATCTTTATTAAAAGATGAACTTCTTTTCTTATTAATTAAAAAAATCAATTGTTTAAATATCTAAAGAATAAATCGAATGATTCATTTCTTTCTAACTAATATTATATATATATATATAAATTTATTGAATTTAAGAATAATGATATCGAATAGTTTTCATTGTATATTATATTTAATTAAAATTATTCTTATTTTAAATATAAATTTACAAAAATAAATTATCAAATGAATAATATTATTTAAGATCTGATCATAGTTATAGAATACGAGAAAATCATATTCGAAAATAAATTAAAAGATTTGTTTATTATTTTTTTTCCTCTTAAATTCTTTTTAAGAATGATATCAGATTATTGATTATCGATGTTTAATTATTAAAAACTGTAAATTTCTTCATCTAATATATATGTATATATACGTATAACAAGACCTTTGATTGTAAAGATGATTCTTCTATTGAACAAAATAATTTATCTTATAGAAAAAAGAAAAAAAAGAAAGAGTGAAATAGTGAGATCGAAGTTATATCCGTTTTGTTTCTATAACAGATGTCTTCGGATAAGATAGACATTTATTTTTATTTTTTTGTTGTGTGTCGATGATAAGAATGATTATTCATCTATAGAATAAAATAGTTGGGAATAAATATATGTTGATTATTGATTGATTATATTGTTATTTGTTAAATTAATCTCAATAATAAATATCAATCGAATATAGTTATTTATATAAATATATAATATTATCTTAAATAATTAATCACAATTAATTTATTTGCTCTTAACAACTATTTTGTTTTATTTTGTTTTATTGCATTATTAACAGCAACTGGATATATATTTGTACTTTTACCATATCAATAATAACGTACTGTTAATGGTAATTTAACATTTTTATTAAAAAACGGCAAAATTTTGTTTTTTTTCGTTTATTCTCTTAAATATTATATTATAATGAATATGACACTTGCTGATTTTCTAGTTGGTTTTTTCTGTATACATTTGTATATTTCACTCAGGTTTGTCATGATTAGTATTGTTAATTTTGCTCGTGGTATTTGGTTAATAAGTTTATTTGATAAAAGTGAAAAATATTGTTCTGGTGATTATAATCATTAATTTATTTATATGTTAATTTTACAATTCAACTATTCTATTTGTCCATTTATTCTATTATGTTTATTTAATTAATTAATTATATTAAATATATGTAAAAGAACAAGAAAAATCAATAGTATGAAATCATTTTAAAAATAAATGAGAGAATAAAAAAAAAATGTTATCTTTCAATTAAAAATCGATTTAATTAAAAAGAAAAAGTCGTCATTTATTCCAAAGTAAATTAAAATATTCATTAAATAGTCGACAATGATTAATATCACTAACTTATATTAATCAACAATATTCGATTATAAATAAAAAAAGAACTTCAACATAAACTATTTCTTAATCATTTAAATAAATAAACGAAACTCTACGTGACATATATTGGATTTTTTTCTTTTTAAATTAATTTATTATTTTTCTTTTTTTTAATAAAATAGAAAAATAAATTCAACTAAAATTGTTTTATCAAATAAATCTTTAAATAAAAATAATCAAATATATTCTGATTATGTTAAGGATTCAATAGTTCAATATAATATTTAAAAACAAGTTGACTTTTTTTTATAAAATCAATATATGATAAAACTAAAATAAATTATCTTCCATTTGAACAATATTTACGAATGAAACGAGATCGAAAAGTTGTTTGATCATTATTTATTCTAGCTATTCGGTTTTTTTAGAATATTTATTTTCTTATGTTATATGTTTACTATAAATAACAGCTGTTAATAATATAGGAGATAAATTCTTTCAAATATGATTTTGGTTATTATGGATTAATTAAATATTTAATCCATTTATTCAAATTAAATATCGTCGATATTCTAACTATTTATTTCAAACTTGTTTTAAACATTTTACTTTTAAATAATTTTTCTTATTTATATTAACAAAAACAAAACAAAACAAAACCCAACAATAATAATAAAAAAATCTTCTTTTAAATTCTATTTATTTATTTAGATTTTTTTTCTTCTTTTAATTCAATATCGAATAAATGAAATAAATAATAAATTATGTTTTACTTAATCGATATTTATTCATTTGTTTCATCTTTTACTATCATTAAATATTATTTAAGAAAATTTTTTTACATATAATCATATATTCCCTATTAATTAAGTTAATATTGAGAAAAAATAAAAACAACTATATTTAGATATTATTTTAAAATCTATAGTCAATTATCATACGAAACTTTTCTTTTCTTTTATTAAACAAATCATTTCTAGATTAATGTCTATTTAAATAAATAAAACAATTCTATCAACAAATTATATTGATTAATATTATTATTTTCATGTTTAAATCAAGATTTTATTTTAAGATAAACTATAATTATATAGAGTTTGGTTTTCAAAAATCACTTTTTCTTTTATCTTCCTATGTGGATGATTCTGGTGAGAGCACAAATGGATATCCGACGAAAAACTGAAGATAATGGTCGGAAGTAGCAACTACGAATCCTAGAATAAAATGGACTGTTTGCCGTCTGTCTGATTTCGATAGAAATTGTAAATATCCACCAAGTGAATATAATCACCAAGTTGACTATTTATTCATTTGTAATCAAGTCTCATTTATTTATCAAGATTAACATTTCTTTTTTTTTTGTAATAATTCAAAAGTTTCACAGAAACATTTACCAATTAAAATATTGAAAATAAAACAAAAAGAAAAAAAAAATAAAGTTTAATTATCTTGATTTGTTTCGAATATGGTTCGATCGATGAAATTATTATTCTAAAATATTCTTAAAATAAAATATATTTTGAATATTATTCAAGTTAAATATATTGAAAATGACGAAATAAAAGATTTTTCTTAATTATTTATAATGTTATTTAAAGTAAACAAATAAGATTATGTTTATCTTAAACAAAAATCTAAACAAGTTGAATAGTGAAATTAGTTATGAGTCTTCCGAGGAAATATTTCGACAATGAGAATTGATTTAAATCAAATGAAAATAACTTGAAAATCATTCATATTCAATTCTTCAACTAAACACATATTGATCTTATTTTATTAAACTGTTATGATATTATATATCTTAAGTTTTTCTTGTTTTATTTAATAATAAAGAAAATAATAAAAGGCAATATATTATTGCCGTTAAACAAAAGAAAAAATAGTTTGAAAAGTGAGAAGTAATAATATGTTGGTAATTGAATTAAAATAAAAGTTAATTTTTTAACGAAAACGACGATTACAAATATAATGATTTTGTTTTTTTTGATTAATTGATTTAATATATTTCTAAATTAATTTAAAAAAAAAAATATTTGTTATTTATTTAAAATAATTAATAAATAAATCATACTGAAAATGTATGTTGAATAGCATTATTAACTTTAATATATAATGATTGAATTTTATCAAGATCATTTGATTTATTAACATATTTTATTTCCTAATATATTAATTTTTAAATTAATTTTAATTAATTTAAATAATAAATAAAAACCTTTGATGATGATGATGAATATTCAATATAACCAAGAGATTCTTAAACAAAGAAACAAACAATATTTGTATGAATTAAATAAAAGAATAGATGAAACTATTTAAAACATACTAAGATATTTAATATTATAATTAATATTAGTTTGATATTGTTTTCTATTCTATTATAATTAGAAATTTTTTAAATTAATAAAGAAAATAAAATAAAAAAAAAGACAGTCAAACTTCAGTTTTTGTTTTTGATTTGTTTCTAAAAATAAATAAATTTATTTTAAAAAAAATCAATTATATATTAAAATAAAATAAATTCTAATACATATTAATATATGGATGATGACGATATTTATGCGTCTTTTTAGTTAATTTTAATATTGATTTTTCTTTTGTTTTATTTGAATCATTTAAATGAACTTTTTCCAATTTCTTTGATTGACTAAAGTTTATTAAAAACAAACTTTTCAAATATATTTTAAAAAGAAAAATAAAAACCAAAGCTAACTGATCAAGATCTTGGCAAGAATTTGTTTTTTCAACATGTTCAAGTGATAAATTATTAACTGGATCAATTAATTGAAGACTATCATTATCACTTTGACTATCACTAAAATAGAGATTAGTTTATTAATATTACTTTTTTTTATATTGATTTTATTAAATAACTTATAGAAAATAATCATATCCTTTGATTTACCCATTTTCTTTCTTTATTTTAAATAAAACTTGATGATTAAATATCTTATTTTATAGGTGATCCCTATTGAATTAATATAAAAATGACATCTATCGATATTCTAGAACAAACAAATGATGTTGTCATGATAACAGATTGTAAAATGTCATTTCATTTTATAAATGAGAAAGAAAAAAATAGTTCATTCTCATTTGAATTTTATTTTTTAAACAAACAAAAACAAAGATAAAAAAAAACCAAAAGCAATGTCAATTGAATATTATAAATCTCATTCACCATCAAATAGGTATTTTAATTAAATAATAAATAAATAAATAAATAATTTAAAATAATATATTTATTTAGAGATCGAAGACTAGTAACATCTCGTTTAACACCATTTGAAAAATTACCTCGTATTGGAAGTTCACATGAATATATTCCTCGTCCACCTAAAACAGAAAATTTAAAAACAAATCCAAGAATTCGACAAATTTCAAAAGAAGAACCAATATTAATTGCTATTCGTTTAAGTGATGGAAGACGTTTAGAAAAAGAATTTTCTCCTTATGATAGAATATATGATATAATTAAATATGTTAAATCAGAACAAAATGATCTTGATGATCAATTTTATCTTAGTAGTGGAGATGTTCCAAAAAGACAATTTAAACATTTTAATTTGACACTTTCACAAGCTAATTTAACCACACACACTGTTCTTTTTGTTGATCGCCAATAATATGTTAAGAAAAATAAAAATATTTGTAATATTCTAGATGGAAATAAAAGAAGAAACTAGTGTAGATTATTATCGTAAATTATTAAATAGTGCAAAAATCTTTTTAACAGAAGTTGATGGAATAAGTTCGACAAATCGAAGTGAAAGAGTATCAGTTAGTCAAAGTCGATCAGAATCTGATCAATCATCATCAATTGATTCGGAAGATATTGATAAACAATTAATATCAACTCGTCAACGATGTCATCAACGTCTTTTAACTTGTTCAAGAAAAAAACTTCGTCTTTTAGCACTTCAACAACAAGTTTATTATTCATTTTTCAAGTTTTTTTTTTTTAATATTTTTTTTTGTTTTTGTTTTTTATTACTGATTTAGAATGATAAACGACACTTAGGATTTAAAAAATTTGTTGATAATCTTGATGAAAAACGATCTGCAAATATTCGTCGATATCAAATTGAATTACGAGATTATCTTTTAAAAAGACTTGAAGCTGATCGACTTCGACAAGATCTTCATTTACTTAATATAAAGTTTGATTTATCTTACATTTTTATTTTCTCTTTTTTCTTATTAACTAAGTAATTTATTCAATTAGAATTGATCAATTAAAACAAGAAAAACAATCTTATTCCAATGTAATTGATATTGTTCAAAAAGCGATTCCATTATTTCCACCAGGTTGACAACTTTTTCTTTTTCTTTTTCTTTCTTTTATTTAACAAAATTCAATAAAAATTCGAGTTTTCTATTTCTAATTGACAAAAAGGTTTATTACAAGGAGGTTCAGATGGTATTAAAAGTCTTATATTAAGATATCAAACATTAGTTGAAACAAAATATTATTTTGAACAAAGAGATTTTTCTAAAGAGGTTTGATTATTTAATTAAAATAAATAATTAATAATACAGAAATAATTGATTAGAAACAAGAACGACGACAAGACTTACTAAAATTAATTCTTGAACATAATACACGAATAGCCAAATTAAGTACACGTCTTGCAAAATTACATGATCAATTAAATGATTTACAAAAAAATGAATCTATTAAAGAAGAACAACTCATTTATAATATTGATTCAAAAAAATCAACGGTTTTATTTATTTTAAATAATAAAAAAAATATTTTCTGTTTTTTGTTGTTTATGTTAATAGACAACAATTGTTAGTCAACTTGAATCATCTATTAATTATCTTTATGATCGTTATCGTCTTATTCATCAAATAAAAACAACTACAACAGATCAAACATCAGCACAAAAATTATCAACTATTCAAGTCAAGTTTTTTCTTTTTTTCTTATTATTTTTTAACAATTTTCTGTTATTGTTATTATTTTAGGAGTTTATATTATATAGAATTGATCTTGTACAAAGAGCAAAACATTAAATTATTTATAAAATAAATAATAATTATTAACCAAATACTTTGATTAATTATTTATCTTATTAATTAGAAATTGTTAACTTAATTCGAATTATTTTTCGAAATAACTAAACCAATGAAAACGTCTTTTTGTTTTTTTCTTTTTTCTTTAAAAATATTTATTCAGTTAATTGAATTTTTTTCAATATTTTCATTAAAAACATTAATTAA